TTTTTTTTTTTTTTTTTTTTTTTTTTGGTACCAGGGATTGAACTCAGGACCTTGTGTTTGCAAGGCAGGTGGTGGCACCACTGAGCTAAATCCCCGGCAACAATTTTTATTAAAAGTCAGGAATATCTATTTTTAAATTTATTTCACTTCATTTAACTCCAACTAAATTTCTTTGAACTGTGTGTCTTAATGGATATCATTGTGTTTGATTTTATAGACTGAAGAACTAATCAAAGCTTTGCAGGATCTCGAAAATGCTGCATCAGGGGATGCAACTGTTCGACAGAAAATTGCTTCTCTTCCCCAAGAAGTGCAGGATGTCTCTCTATTGGAAAAAATAACAGGTGAGATAGTAGAGTCTGGTGAATGCAGGACTGATGTGTAGTTCCTCGGTAGGGCATTAAACTGTAGGATGTGCTGATGCCTGCAGGCATAGACTTTCTGGGTGATGCTTTGCCACCTTGTGTTTTGCAAATGAATCATATGCAGAACAAAGAAACACTTGGAATAGCCAAAGCTTGAGTAATGATTCTAAGAATTATTGCAGAAATGCCAACATGCCACAACCTGTAGCACCTTGAATAAGCTTTGTTGATAACACAGTCCAAATTGTATATATGTGGAACAGTGTGGGTGAGAGGAGATAGGCATTAAACTCATGACATTCTAAAATAAAATAATTTATGATACAGGACTCTGATTTATACACTCTGCACTGGCATGCTTTGGTCATGTCATGTTACCCTGATGTTGACCACTCCCGGTTAAAACAGAAGCTGACAACTTACTTCTTTCTGTATAGGAAGTTGAAGGGAAAGAATGAAGCATGAACTAATTTAACAGTATATTCTCTGCTAGTTACTATACTCTTGATGATTGTTGAAGATTGCTGAATGTATATCCCCCATGTTAATAATAGATAGAGACCTTTGAGAAGTTACGTGTCTTGCCCAAAGTCAAATAGGTAGTGGATCTTGAGATTCCACCCTAGGCTGCAAGTTCCGTGTTCTTTCCATTGTAGAAGTGCAGACTTTTCATTCCACTGTCTTGTAGAGGACACTGTTTTCCCTCCTCTAGTTTCTTGATTTGGCTACTTCTCTGAATTCCTCTGTATTCACGTAAAGGAAGTCAAGGCTACTCAAGAAGTACTTCCTTCATTCAACAAATATCTGAGGCTCACTGTACCCTCAGTGTCTCGCCCATATTCCCTCAACCAGGTTAAGTGCCAAGAAGAAAAATAAGGCAAGAGTTTGTAATGATCTTTGAATAGAGAACCAAAGAAATTAGGAAGCAGATCACGGTGATGTCTGAGGGAAGGAATTACCAACAGGCAGTACAGAGAAAAATCTGAAGGCTACGTGTGCTTAGTGGGACAACACAGTGCAACAGAGAAGCCTTTGAAATTACATGAGAAGCATTTTATCACTCTCACTCTGTGTCCCCCTTTCCCTCCATCTAACCCTTGAGTATTCACTTTTTATACCCAGAGTCTTTGTCCTCTCATATATACCATAAACATCTTTTCTTTTTCCTCCCTACTGTAATCACCTGGCAAAACCCTGAAATTGGTTAAATTGAACTTTTAAAAAATTATTTTTATAAGGGCTATTTATATGTGGCACTGGGGGTTGAAACTAGCGACTTCATACTGAGTTCTATCTCCTGTCCTTAAAAAATTTAATTAATTAATTTATTTATTTATTTTTGCATTTTTTTGGAAACAGGGTCTCAAAAGATCAATAAGTTGTCCAGGCTGAACTCAAACTTGGTATTTTCTGCCTCAGCCTTTCAGGTTTTTGGTATTACACCAGTGCCAGCACACCTGGCTATTATTTATTTACTGTGGTGCTGGGTATTGACCCAGGGCCTTACACATGCTAGGCAAGCATTGTACCATTGATTACGCCCTATCCTATTTTCACTTTTAAATTGTGGTAAAATATACATAATATAAAAGCATACAGTTCAGTACTTTTACATTGTTTTGCAATCAGTTTCCAGAATTCTGTCTTGTGAAACTGAAATTCTATACTCAATAAACAACTCATTGTACCTGCCTTATCCCTTGGCAACCACCCATCTGAAATCCAACTTTTCTTCTTTCTGTGCCTGTGCAGCTGAATATAGCTGGGGAAAGTAATTTATAAGCCTTAGCCTCTTATTTCTCTGGATGACCATGCTGTATTCTAAACTGTCCCTCTCTCTGTTAGGTAAATCTGCTTCTTATCTACTCAAGAACAGCCTGTGCTGCAAAGTCAGACCTTGTCTCAAAAGAAAATAGAGAGGAAGATGGTGGCGGGGGGAGGACACCCTTCACTTTTACATCTCCATCTCTTCTCTTCTAGACAGTTCTAAATAACATAAACATTTTTATGTACGTGTGCTAGGGATTTAACCCAGGTCCTTGTGTATGCTAAGTACACGCTCTACCACTGAGCTAGATAGCTAGATCCCCAGCCTTATAACATTTTCTATCTCTGCTCCCCCTGCATAGGAAAAAAAATGTTCTTTATCCTACATCTTTCTCTAGCCACTGCTTTATCGCCTTGGTTCGTATTTGCTCTGTCTCACTATCTCTGTCTCTCTTCTTCCCCCTCTCCCTTCTTCATCTCCCTCTCTCCCTCCTCTCTCTCTCTCTCTCTCTCCTCTTTTCTTTCTTTCTTTTTTTTTTTTTTGGTACCAGGGATTGAACTCGGGTCCTTGAGCTTGCAAGGCAGGCAGCAGAACCACTGAGCCAAATCCCTGGCCCTCCTCTTTTCTTTTGAGATAAGGTCTTACTTTGTATCCCAGGCTGGCCTTGAACTCTTGATCATTCTGCCTTAGCCCCCTGAGAGCTGGAATTGCAGGCATGTACCTTATACCCCCTTTTCTGTTCTTTTTAACACAGCATAGGATTACCTTTGCTGCCTCTGCTTCATTCCCTCCTGTCTTCTTGATTTCAACTTATTGAACCTGCTCTTGTCAGAGCTGCTTATGACTTTATTAAATCGTGGATTCTCTGCCCTTATTTTTTCTTGACCCCTAGTAGCATTTGATATGGTTAATTATTTCCTCTTCCTGAAAATACTTTCTTAGTTTTATAGATAGAATAATATTCCCCTCCAAAAAAACTGAGTCCGCATCACCAGGACCTTGAATATGTTATCTTACATGGCAAAAATAACTTTGTGGATGTGTTTGGGGTTAGGATCTGGAGATGGGAACGAAATTCTGGATTAGCCAGGTGGACCCAGATAATCATAGGGGTCCTTACAAGAGAGAAGGGATAGGATCTTGGAAGCAGAGATTGCAGGATGTGCTTTAGAGATGGAAGAAGGGGCTGAGATAATAAATACTACTACACTTTAAGGTATTTTAGGCCACTAAATTTGTGGTTTGTTTAAGCAGCAATAGCAAGCTAGGATCCCCTATTCTTGCTTTCCTTGTGTCTCTCTGGCAGTATCTTTTCTGTTTCTTGAGGCTTTCTTCACTTCCTTTGACTTCTTAGTGTTGATTTTTTAGCCTTCTTCTATAGCTAGTTTCAGGGACAGTTCTTAGCCAGTTTGCTAACTTGAAACAATTTTTATGCTGATAATGTTCTAATTGATATTGCCTTTGTACTTGAGACCCATACATCCACCCTCCTGGCTGGTTGAATGTTTTGAGAGGCATTGCAAGCTTGGCCTGCCCCTAACTGAACTTCTGAGCTTCTCTCTGAAAATAATTTTTCTCGTGGTCTTCACCATCTCAGTAAATTCATCTCACTCCTGTTGATTAGGACCCAAAATAGTGCCTGATATCTGTTCACCACCTCTCCTACTATCTGGTACAAGTCATTGCCATGCTCACTGAAATAATTGCAATAGTTTCCTTCCCAGTCTGCCACCACTTCTTTGTCTCTTATTCCCAGCCATATTCCTACTCTCAACATTATAATAATCAGAGTGACCGTCCTAAACCAAAGTTGAATCACATCTTACCTTGTTCAGAACACCCCAGTAGGACCTGCCCCCCATTCACCTAGAGTAAAAGCCAGAGGCTTTCATTTCTTTTATTTCCTCATGGACTTTCACTGCTTTCCCTTTGCTCACTGTCAGGTCCTCTGAGCTTCTTGCCAGGCAACAGGCACCCTCCCTCTCAGGGCCTTTGGACATGTCACTGTTCTCTTGAGTCCTTATTTATGTATCTCATTCCACTGAAGCCAACTCTGACCACCTTGTTGAAAAGTGTGCCCCTCCACCAAGGCCCTGTTCTTTCTCCTGTGTACTATACTGTATATCTGGTTTCTCTTCCTATCTGAAAATGTAAACTTGAGAGCAGAGACTTTTTGTCCTTTTGTTCCCTGCTCTCTCTTGGAACCTAGGTACTCAGTAAGAGCTCAGACATTTGTTAGGCAGAGTGGAAGGTTGTGAGTAGAGGATTGGTGGGTTTGAAAGCCTGATTGGAATCAGTTTAGTAACATGGGAGAGAGGAGGTGGCTATAGGGAGTGTAGATAGAGTTTGTTGTAAAAGGAGAGCAAGGAAATGGGGCAGTAGCTAGAGAGTACTAGGTGCTAGCTGGTTGGAATAGCTGTAGATTTGCCTCTACTTCTTGAGGAGAGACGAATTGATGGTGCAGGAGAAACACAGAAGCTAAGTCTCTGTCAGCTTGAGAGAGTGGCTGCCCACGCACGAGTGGATGGCTGTCCACAAGAGGCTCACTTCTGCTCCTCCACATCAGGGAGGGCTGGAGCATAGCCGCAGGTAAGTGCTGTAAAGTGAGATCTTGCTTCTACATTTGCCCTGCATTTTCTTTGTAACTCAGTGAACTATAAAAAGTCATTTTTCCGGGTTTTAGTTATTTGTGTAAATGATTGACTTCTTTGTACAAGTTCTTGAGGGTGAAAATTGACTTTTAAAATTTTTTAAAAATTGTTTTCTTTGCTGTTTGTTTCCCCAGCTAGTCAAACATCCTAATAAATTAACTGTTTAAGACAAGAGAGATTAATCAAGCAACAACAAAGTTAAAATCAGCCTATCCATACATAGACACATTTGTAGTTTTAGTTTCACTACCTCCCATACATAATTTTAATAGTTCTTTATGCATATAGATCCTTCTTTTGTTCCTTGTGCTGAGCCTTTGTTCACCACTTCTGTCAACAGTTTTTTGAAGTTGTACATAGTAAATATAAGAATTGTTTTATGAAATGTTGCTCTTGTTTTTATGTTTATAAATAGTGTATTTCTATGGTGGGTCCGATCAAAAACATTTGAAAGCCTCTGTTCCTTTTTAGACCCTTTATTTTGCTGATGATGGGAAGAGAGCTTATGTCCTGGGTTAAGGCTTACATAGTTGAAGAGGTAGAGTCCATTTTAAAGTCCTGGCTTTGAATCCCAGCTCAACTGACCACATATTAAACCTGTCATGTAGCTTTGTATTTTTTTCTTTCAATTTGCACACCCAAGAAAGGAAAGCTTGCTTTTTTATTTCAGAGGAATGTAAAAGGTATACTTAATAAAATAATACAAACAAAAGCATTTGAACTTCACAAAGGCAAGGAAAATCATTTCATGGATGACTTTAAATATCTTCCTCTCTATTTTGTTTGTTGAGCTTTTGCAGGAATAGACATTTAAAATTATTTGCCAGATTTCCCTTCCCATACAATTGCCCTACTTCAGGTAATTCTGAGTGAAAGCCTTTGGGTTTCTTAGCCAGCCAACTCATTGTTTCTATAGGTTCTGGCTTATTCTTGGACTCTATGATGGGAGAGAAACTGTAAACCTTTCCCCAGAAATGGTTGCAGCTGTACCTATGTGATTTGTATGTTGTCTCTATTTTTGGTCTCGTTTGTACTTAGACAAAGAGGCAGCTGAACGTCTTTCAAAAACAGTAGATGAAGCATGTCTGTTACTAGCGGAATATAACGGGCGCCTGGCAGCAGAACTGGAAGACCGGCGCCAGCTGGCTCGGATGTTGGTGGAGTACACCCAGAATCAGAAAGATGTTTTGTCAGAAAAAGAGAAAAAGCTAGAAGTGAGTATATTGCAAAGCAGACCCATATTCCCCGAGTTTCTCTTTCTATAGCCCACATTAGCAGTTTTTTATTGTGCCGTAATTAACATGTTTTTATCTTTTATAAATTAATGAGATGGGAATGTCCATTTGAAATTGTAATTTGATCCTGGTTAAAATTAAAGTCATGTTTTTATATGTATAGAAAAGAACAAATTGGATTGTAGAAAACAGTGAACTCTTAACAGCATTTAGGATTTTGATACTGAGTTTTACCTCACATTAAAAGCAAATTGCACATCAAAGTGCAGAAAGGATAGCAAAGCTAAAGAATGTTTATTTGGTGATATATAGGAAATGCATTAAAATTTCTTTTGAGTGCTTTTAAGTTTTATTTCTGACTTGTATCAGTGCTAATAAAACCAATAAGTCATCTGATTCCAAGCTTTCTCTATGTCATTTCTAAAATGTCACAGTAATGTTTATGGAGTCTGCTTCTCAAGCTGAGAAGGGACACACGTCTGCCCTGAGTTGAGGAGATGACTCTGAGGGCCCTTGGGTGGGAAGTCAGAAACATTCCTTACTGTGTACTGGTTTGGCTTCTTCATTGAGTACATGGGTTAACTTCAGTGCCTAGTTCAGTGATTTTGGAGCTTTGAATGATACAAGCAGCCTGCTATGGCACACTGGTCCCTTAGGATAACAGAGACAGCAGGGTGGACATTTGAGAATTTTTGCTTGTCACAAGCTGCTAGACTTCTTTTTTGAGAATTGTCTACTTTTAATCTTTTAAAAAGATACATGGAAGAATTTTAGCCAGTAATTCTGCGAAGGAAGGACAGATCTGAGTTGGAGAATCAACCACATTCTTTTACAAAAAACACTTCTGAAAGTCCAGTAGGTGAAGGAGTAGGTAAAGTCACTAGGTAAATGAGCAGGAAAGCCACCCTTCCTGTTCTGTGGCCCTAAAGGGGGGAACACTGAGTTAGCTCAGACTGAGATTGTAGTATTTACTATCTCACACAGTCAGCAGACTTAAGTCCTTTTTACCGTATTCTTACCTGCGCTGATTATGGGATAGTGGTAGCAGGGACTTCATATTTCTAGCCAGTGTGAATGTGGAAGATGGGAAACAGCCATAAAAATACTGTGGCTTGGATGTTGAAGTCGGCACTGACCAGAAATCCTAAAGGGAGTTTCACAGGCAGTACCAGACGGTCATTTATCTGAAATGCTCATCTTTCACTGAGGAAGCCTTTTCAGCACTGTGCCCTGGGACTAATAAGAAAGTGTAATTAATGATTCTGGTTGTAAGTCGCCATGCCATCTGTTGAACTGCCCCTTGGCGACACATTAAGGGCTTTCTCTGATCTGTCAGACATTGATTATCATGAGCAGCTGTTGTTGGGTGGAACATTGCAAGCTACTATAGAGGACAGGCTTTGAGAAGGAGTCTGTAGGTAGAGCTGATTAACTCTTTGTTTTGTCATCTACCCTCTCCTAGTTGCACTTTCTTATCTATTTCTGCAAGAGTCATTCTGGTTTCTGTAGAACGAGTGGTTTGCTGGGTGCCATAAGAGGTCACTGAGGTATAGAAATGGACCAGAGATTTGGCCATGTTCTGTCTTTTCTGCTCACGTTTTCCCCTGCTAGTTCATTTAGTGGAGTGGCATTGAAATTCCCAAGGTTAAGAAGCAGAACAGGAAAGCCTCAGCACTGCAAAGCACAGAGTCTGAACTAAAGATTCCTGTCCCAAAAACCTGATGTGTAACTTGAAAGGTGTTATTGGTACTCTGAATTTCTCCAATTCCTCCAAAAGTCTCTTGCTGATGGGAATAGTGCCTTAGGTATACAAGTTATTTTTAACCTTCATTTTGGTTGCATAGATAGTCCTTTAATTACCAAATCAGAATGCTAATTAAATCTTTCATTTTTAATCCTTTCATTGCCTTCAGTGTATAAAAATAAGGAATTCTTAGGATTTTTTGAAATGTGTTTTTTTCTTGGGAGTCTGCCCCCCTCCCCAGTTTTAATTTGTTAACACATAGGTTTATATTTTCTTTTTTTGAAATTTTATATTGTTTTATGTAACAAGCATCTCTTCTTTTACTTGAGAATTTTATGTTAGATTCTTGTGGCTCCTAAACCTGGGATTTACGGAGTGTGTTGATGCAGCACCTAGAACATAAGGGGGCGGGTTATGGTGCACAGAGGAAGATCATGTTTCAGAGAAGCTGTTCTGGTATAGATAAACATAAAACATAAAATCAAATCAACTCATTGTGCACAATGCAGATTAAGACAGTTGACAATTCTGATTGTGGTTTAAGGTAAATCCATACTTCCTCTCAGATAATAAAGCCTTTTTGTGAAAGGAAACAGCAATTGAAGGAGAGAAGTATATTTATAAAAGGGGAGCAGCCAGACTGGTCCTGGCAGGCATGAGAAGAAAGACAGAGGGTGTGGGAAGGAGGACTTGGAGACCACCAGTAGGGAGTGAGGGTCTTTAAGAGGCTACTTAAACATTCAGTCAGCAGCATCTGTACCAATCAGTAGATACAGAAAGGTGAGCAAGATGTGCTTCCTCTGATGAGATGCTTATTAAAAATGTAAAGGAATTATCAAATGCATGGGCTCACAGGCCTTCAGCAAGTCTTCCAAAGTTGGCTAGCTAGACTGTATGCTCACTGATGGTTCTCACAGTACTGGAAACATATTTCTCAGTAAATATTCTATGACTGAAGTTTATTACTTGATGTAACCTTTTCCTGTTAAGTTATTTTTAGGTTGCATTAAGTGGTTTAACAAATCTGATTTAATTGTTGGTTATAGAGTATGTTAGTAAAGAAAGGTGACTAATAAAAACTCTTTAACAGGTTTCTCTTTTGTTCTACTTTTTCTTTAAACTCATGGTTCATTTTGAGATGATAATCTTTTATTTTTACTGTCTTTTTCTGGGTATCATGATTGACACTGGCTTACCTCCTTTCCCTTAAACTCAGGGTAAGGTAAGAAAGAAACCTACTGAAAATCTGTTTATAATGGTTTGTCATAAACATGAAAAAAAATCTAGAAATAGAAAAGCATGCATATGGACCTAAGTAAAAATAGCAGCCCAGAAATAAGGTATGCAATATGGGTACTCTAGAATAAGGCTGATAAAAGGTTTAGGGTTTGTTTTGTTTTGCTTCTGTTAGTTGTAGTAGTGAGAATCAACTCAGGAGCGCTCTGTCATTGAGTTACATCATCAAATCTTTTTTTTTTTTTTTTTTTTTTTCG